AAAAAAAAAAAAAAAAAAGTAAGGAGAAACAGGAAATTTGAAGGTTGACTATTGTTGTAGACTGAATATTTATGTCACCTCAAAATTCATATGTTAACAAGTAATTCCCAATGTGATAGTATTAGGAGGTAAGGCCTTTGGAAAGTGATTATATCATGAATAGGATTAGTGCTCTTATATTACAAGAGAGAGCCCAGAAAGCTCCCTCTCTCCTAGCACATGAGGATACAGAAAGAAGATGGCCATCTATAAACCAGGAAGTGGGCCCCTCACCAGACACCAAATCTGCTGGCACACCTCAATCACAGACTTCCCAGACTCCAGAACTATGAGAAATTTCCATTGTTTATAAACCACTCAGTTTATAGTATTCTGTTATAGCAGCCCAAAATACACTAGACTACCTATCCTCAGGATGTAACCACTGCTGTCTGTTTCTACTACTGAAAGAGGTAGGACAGCTCCAGGCTATAGATCCTATGCCAGGCCTTACAAACACACACCATGTCACAAGAAGAGCTCCACATCTGAGTACTTCACTGAGAAGCAATTGCAAGAGATGACTATCTGACGTGTGAGAAGTAATCTCATATTTCCAATGGATTAACTGCTACTAATAAAAAGACCTACACAACAGTATCTACAGAGAAATCTAATATAGTACAAATGTAGACCCTCCAAACTAAGCCAAGGTCACATAACCCTAAGCATTTCCTTGCAACACGACCAAACTGCATCATCCTCAAATTACTAGTATTGTCTTGTGAAATGCCAAAACAGTTCAGAAAAATACAGTAGTCTCCCCTTACCTAGGTGGAATACGTTCCAAGCTCCACAGTAGATGCCTGAAACCATGGATAGAACTGAATCCAAATGCTATCAAGCAGAATACATTTCTGTTCCTGTCTTCCACCCACAAATATAATCCCTTTTCCATCTTAACCTAGCACTTACGCCCTGTGGCCACAGCTTTTGTAGTCGAGATGCAACAGCAAAATTAGCACAAATTTCTTTTTCCTTCTTTACAGTTTCACAGATAGAAGATTCATTATCATAGATCTTTGCAACCTCAGCATATGATATGTTTTTCCTTTCCTAAGTCAAAAACTTTCACCTTTTCATTTAAAGTAACCATTTTATGGCTTCTCTTTGGAATATCCAAATTGTATCACTTCTTTTATGCTCTGGGGGCTATTATTAAGTAAAATAAGGGTTACTTTAACACGACTATCCAAAGAAGCCAACCATGCATTTGTACCCTCATATTAATCTGAAAAAAAAAGAACAATACTACAAATATTAAAAAAATAAAAGTGAGTGTGAAAATAAAAGGCCTACTTGGGAAGCACTTAAAAAAATACATAATTGACACCAGGGGAAAAAAACACAACTACTGCTAAGTGACTGGGTGGGTAGTACAGCGTATAGAGCAAGGATATACTGAACAAAGTGATGATTCTTGTCCCAGGTGGAATGGAGCAAGTTAGGACAAGATTTGATCATACCACTCAAAAGAGCATACCATTTAAACTTAGGAGTTGTTATTTCTAGAATTTTCCATTTAATTGACTTGGTGTGTGGATATACGGGGGACTATTGCACTAAAATGTATCTGAAAGACCATGTCTGTTACAATGGCCAACACAAAACATTTGTAAATAAGATGAGTTTAAAGTTTATGCCTCATACATGAGTACCTAAAAAGTGCTTAAGTGATAAATAGGGAAAAAGTTAAAAGACTACTATAACAAAAATATTTAAAAAAAAAAACAATGTTACCTGATCAAGATTTTTGAAAAGAAGAATATCTTTGCAAGCTTCCTGAAGTCTGCATCTCTGTTCATCAGTTTTAGGATGAATCACCTGCCAACCCAAAGAAAACCGGAGATTATTTTTTTTATTTCATTTTTTAAAAAAGCACCCACTTGGTCAGGCGGTACCTGTGGCTCAAAGAATTAGAGCACCAGCCCCATATGCTGGAGGTGGTAGGTTCAAACCCAGCCCCAGCCAAAAACTACAAAGAAAAAAAAAATACACAACAGGTCTTCCAAACATTAGATGAAAAAATCCTTATTTGGGCAGCGCCTGTGGCTCAAAAGGGTAGGGCGCCGGTCCCATATGCCGGAGGTGGGGAGGTGGGGGGTTCATACCCAGCCCTGGCCAAAAACAGGGAAAAAAAAAGCACCCACTTGAAAACTGATATATTTCTTTCTCCAAAACTTGGGGAAAATTTTTAGAAAGTACTCTATAATTTTATTTTTATTTTATTTCTTTTGAAATAGAGTCTCACTTTGTTGTTTTTTTTTTTTTGGCCAGGGCTGGGTTTGATCCCACCACCTCTGGCATATGGGGCCACAGGCGCCACCCTTGAGTCTCACTTTGTTACCCTCAGTTGAATGCCGTGGCATCATAGCTCACAACAACCTCAAACTCTTGGGCTCAAGCGATTCTCTTGCCTCAGCCTCCTAAGTAGCTAAGACTATTTAAGTGCCTGCCACAATGCCTGGCTATTTTTTAGAGATGAGGTCTCACTCTTGCTCAAGCTGGTCTCGAACTCATGAGCTGAGGCAATCCAACCACCTCAGCCTCCCAGAGTGCTAGGATTACAGGCATGAGCTACCATGCCCGGCCTATAATTTTAATTCTACACAAATATCAAATTGTATGCTGAATCTATAAGGGCAGTGTAATGCAGGGGTGAAGAGCACCATCTGGAGCCACCTGCTGGCTATGTGGCAAGTAGCAAGTTACTTGTCTCCTGGAAATCTTGGAGTCCTCATCCATAAAGTGAAGTGTTATAAATTTGTTCATTCAACAAATATTGAGCACTACTCACTGCCAGGCACAATCTTTGCTCTGATGACATGACAATAAAAACAAAGACAAAAATATATGCCTTCACATTCAATAAATACATAAAATATGTTAGGGAGTGTTAAGGCTAAGGAGAAGAAAAGGTAGGGAAATGAGATAATAAGTATGAGTGTGCAGGCAGTGCCTGTGGCTCAGTGAGTAGGGCGACGGCCCCATATACAGAGGGTGGTGGGTTCAAACCCGGCCCTGGCCAAACTGCAACAAAAAAATAGCTGGGTGTTGTGGTGGGCGCCTATAGTTCCAGCTGCTCAGGAGGCTAAGGCAGGAGAATCACCTAACCCCAAGTGCTGGAGGTTGCTGTGAGCTGTGATGCCACAGGACTCTACCAAGGGCAAGAAAGTAAAACTCTGTCTCTAAAAAAAAAAAGAAGTATGAGTGTGCATGTGTACATCCATGTGTGGTCAGGCGAGGCCTTACTGAGAAGGTGACATTTGTGCACAGAGCGTGAGGAAGTAATTACAACTTGAGAGAGTGAGTCATATGGATATTTCTGTGGGAAGAGCACCCTAAGCAGAGAGACCAACAAGTGAATACAAGACTTTAGGGTGGGAGTATGACTAGTAAGTTTGAAAATTAACAAGGAAGTAATTAAGTATAGCTCATTCAGAGTGAAAGAGAAAGATCAGGAGAATGGGTTGGGAGGGAGATGCCCAAATCACAAATGGCATTGTAGGTCACAGAAGAAATGGAACTTTTCTCTAGGAACATGGAGTGATATGAGATTCTGAGTTGAGGAAGGAAAATGGTCTGACTAATGTTTTTAAAAGATTATACTGGCTACTAAGTGAAAAACAGTCTATAGGAAAGCAAGAGTAGCAACCCACAATGCCAGATGGTGGTAGTTTGGACCAGGGTGGTAGTCACGGAGGTGCTAAGCAGTAGAATTCTGAATAGGTTTTGAAAAAGACAGAGCCCACTAAATTTACCAAACAAATGAGAGGGCTTGATGTTGACCCCAGAGTTTTCAGAATGAGCAACTGGAAGGAAGGAACTGCTATAAATTAATCTGGTGAAGATGAATATTTAAATAAAACAATCAGGGCTGGGCATAGTGGTTTACA